AAAGAGGGTTAAAAACGCTTTTGGGATGAAATGGTATAAAAAGATTTGTTGGGACTAATTTTTATGGTCAAAAGTCAATAAAAGAGGGAAATAAGAGATAATGGGGTACGGTGAAATCTTTAAGGATTTTCTTATGCCGCTTGAAAAAAAAAAAAGGAAAGAGTGTCTACCATGAAATGATATGAAGAATTAGGGTTCTATACAAAATTTTTCCAATTAAAAAACATTGAGAGGTGGTATAAAATAGTAGACCTTGTGAACTAGATACAGGGCATTGAACATGATCATTTATTACACAAATATTTCATTTTTATAATACAGAAAGAAATCGTCCAAACAATACACTGCTAATGTCCAATGCTCACATCTAGCTTCACTATGAGGTTCTAGACTATCAATGGTTCATGTTTTTTATTGCATGTGGATTCGTATGCATGGTTAACTGTCAATAAGCATATTCACGGACATTCATCAACAAAAAACAACAACATATTCACGGATATTCATCAACAAAAAACAACAACATATTCACGGACATTCATCAACAAAAAAAGCTGCTTACACAATAAGCAAAAAACAACAACATATTCAAATAAATAGCAGCATATTCACAGACATTCATCAATTAAAAACAACATCACATCCATGGACATTCATCAACAATTTAACCAACATTCACAACAATTTAAAGACTTGCTCAACAATCTGCTCCGCCTAATTCAAAAGCCCAAGAATAGGAACAAGGAAAGGCTACTTCAAAGGCCCCATAACGAATTTTCAATTGCAATGGCTACTTGTTGGTATAATGCATATCGGGAAACCCAAAAACGAAAACAAAAAAAAAAAGAATAAAAACATCACTAGTTTCATACCACAGGATAACATTTCCATCCAAATAACTACAAAAGCCCCAAATACCTTCCTTGCAAGCTTACAGTTTACTAAACAACAGACTGATAAAGATGTACACAACAAATCAAAGCATACATCAAAACTCCACCAACCCAAAATATAAAATTCAAAATTAAATAACAAAAAATGATCAAGCCTATGCAATATCTTTAGAAAGATAAACCGACAAAGCATATCCCCAATATCTTTAAGACTGCAAATAGCTGGTTTCCTTCAGCAATCACAAAATAAAATTGAAAAAATAGCCATAGAAGAAGCATTCAGAATCTCCAAAAAACAATATGGTAAGTATGCAGAATACCAGAGAACATTACTAGAAGAGGGAATCCAATGATATGTATCTAAAATTATCTCATAAATTAATGTTCATGTCAAATAACCAAGAGATAGAGAGAAAAGCGAAAAGTGAGAGATGCAAGAAGCGAAAACTTCATATAGTAATGGCGTAGAGAAGGATAGAAGGGAGAGAGGCAGAGAGAGAAAGACCCCCATCTCCTCTATAAAGCTTCACAAAAAAAAAGTCTTCCCCACTGAATTATCCAAAAAAAGTCTTCCCTAATGAATTACCCAAAAAACAAACCCCGCTGGCACTGCCCTTTATAAAACAGGTAGGGATCTGTGTTCCCCACTGAATTACCCTAAAAAACGTCTTCCCCAATGAATTACCCAGAAACCTGTCTTCCCCACTGAATTACCCTAAAAAACGTCTTCCCCAATGAATTACCCAGAAACCTGTCTTCCCCACTGAATTACACCAAAAAAAAGAAAACCTAGATCACATGCAGGATTCAGCTGAAAAGAGTAGTCCGTCCGTGGAAGTGGAGGAGCCACTTAAGAGGGATAAGAGGATATTGCAAACATAGATGTGCCTTATGGGCGAGGATGACGATGAAGATGGTGGGAAAGAAGAAGATGAGAAGTAAAGGAAAGACCACAATTTGAACTGATGAGCAAGTGGATATATAAGGAGACGTGGAGGGAGAAACATGAGGAGAATATGCTTCTTTTGATATCACCATGACAGAAGATGTGGTGACACCGGAGAGCCCCAAGTTAGTTGCATGCAAGAGGCAGAGTAGCTTTGAGCATTTCAAATTAGGAGCAGGTTTTCCTTAGTAGACACCTTCCTCGACCAATATCAAATATGTACTTAGTTGCAAAAATTATAAAAAAAACTCTCAAGAAAAGACTTGCTCTGCAACTTACCCCGAATCAAACTTTCTGTGCCCACTTTTTACCCTAAACTATGGTTTCCTAACAAATACCCCCCAACCAAAAAACTAAACTTTTTTTTTCCCCACTTTTTACCTCAAAATATATCTTCCTAGCAAATACCCCCCAACTGAAAAAATAAATAAATAAAGACTAAACTTCACTTCTTTGACTTTTACCCACGGCTCTCTCTCCTATGGAAAAAGTGTCGTCCGACATATATACATGGTTGTTCGGCACTATTCTTTATGGATAAACATGCGGTCTGACACTTTTTTCTTGGGCAAAATGTGGCTCGGCAGGTCCTCTGATACTTCTGTTCCTAGACAAACATGCGGTCCGGTATATCTATATGGCGGTCCGACATTTTTATATATGCAGTCCAGCAAAATCTATATATGCGGTTCGACAGATATGCGGTCCGATAGATAATGAAGACGGTCCAACACTTTTTTTAGTTTAATGGGGTTCGACAATTGGTACATGGTGGTCCGGCAACCCATGTAACTTTTGGTACTGTGCGTAAGCCCACGTGAATTTCCGGCCAAAATTAATTGTTTTGTATGAAAAAGGGTATTTTTTGTCAAAAGATAGTAACTTTTTTTACTTGGGGGTGTTTGCTAGAAAATATATTTTGGGGTAAAAAGTGAGAAGAAAAGTTTCGTTGGAGGTAAGTTGCATAGAAAGTCTATTATTGAGTGTTTTTTGTACTGTGACAGGTTTCTATACGTCTCCTACATCATAGAAGATCTATCCTTCCCCTACCATCTAGTCGTCCAATTTTGATCAAGAGAGTCATTCACCATTTGATCTTAGATCCGATGTCTCAAAGTATTTTATTTTTAGTTTTTTTTATACAAGTTGTATGAATATGAAATTTGGTATGTGTCATCTTCTCATTGGGGCTCACCTATAAAAAATATTAAAAATAATTTTTCGATAAAATATAATGATCAAAATACCCCTTTAAACTTTTAGAAGTAAAAAGTATTAAAAATAATTTTTTAATAAAATATAATGATCAAAATACCCCCTTAAACTTTTAGAGGTATTTTAGTTATTTTATTTTATTAAAAATAAATTATTTTTTTTTATATTTTTCGCTAATGCGAGTTTAATAAAGGATTGGATGTTCAAAATTTAGTGTCAAAATAGTTTATAAAAAAAAAACATTAAAAATAAAATAGTGTAGAGATGTGACATTGTGATTGAGACAATCTTAGGCCTCCATTCAGAATAAACGGTTGGATAAGAGGAAGTATATAAGTTTTATGATGTGAGAGAAGCATAAAAAGCTTGCCCTTTGCAATTTTCCCGATTATGTAATTTTCCCTACTTAGTTTGTTTCCCAGTTCCCATGCCCACAGACTTATTTATCGACCAACTCGATATTATGCAGAACAATGTGGCGTTGGTCAGATTGACTTTGAGCCACCTGGTTGTTTATTTTGGCTCTTGATATTGTAATTTACTTTATTCTAAACTGTGATATGCAAGGTAATCAAAACCAAAAATATGAAGATCAGACCTGACCGGAAGTTAGACATGTAAACTTGGCAATCGGATCACCCTGGCTGGTTCGATGAAGATAACGAATTGGAATCAACAAAGAAACAATGAATCGGCATCAAGTTATCAACAAAGAAACAATGAATCGGTGTCAACAAAAACTCAATCAAACCTCGAGCATTAGTAGCAGTTGGATCGACCATTATTGTTGATTTTCTTGCCACCTCGTTCAAACCATTTTTTTTTTTTTCAAGATTCTGGTTCAGTATTTTGTTTTTCATTCTATATTTTTCTTTTTTATTGCATTGGATTTTTTATTGCCGAAAATTCTACCTAAAAATTTGGAAGATTTTACCTTGGGTTGGGGATGGCATGGGAATTAGCCACGCCAATCCTAGCCTTAGCCTTGTCCTAACATAGCCAAAGAAACCCTAACTCAGGCCCAATACAACTGACGGAAACGAGAAAAAAAAGGAAACAAATGATTGAACAGGACCAGGCTGCGCCGATCATGGCCTTTGCCCAGTCCTAGCTCGACACTATCTTTGGTCCACAATTTGTGGCCCAATACCTAATTTTACCGGGTGGGCCTGACACAAATAGACAAGTCGCCAGCCAATTGTTTGTCCTAATTTTGCCACTGATTATAAGGAAACTTATACAACTTTTATTTTTCAAATAAAATTCAAATTGGTTAAAATCACTGTCATTAGTTTGTTTTTTTTTCTTTTTTATTTGCACATTTTTTTTTTTTATTCCCATTGAAACATACTCTCTCTCTCTACCATGTGGACACGTATCTATGCAATGCATTCCCTTGTTCTTTTTAATTGAGGAGGTTTGCATGATTTATTTATATTTTGGTAAAGTCAAATATTAGAGATTATGTAATATGAGATCATTTATAATTATTACAAAGAGATCACAATTACTTCTGGCCAGTAGATGTCAAATTAGATTGTTTGAGATATGGTGCGAAGTTTGAAAAATCTTTTTTGAATTTTGAGTTTAGTCAATAACATATTTACAACTACCTAATTTGAAATCCAACCGATAAGAGTGATTATGATCTCCTTGTTCAAAAAGTAAATGGTCTCTTTATATATTTTCTCCAAATATTATATATTATGCAGTGTAGATAATAATAATTGATGAATGGCGATGATTACTATAAATTGGATAAATTTTGGCACTAAATTAAAAAGATAACCTTGCCTTATTTTTATTGAATTTTAATCTTTTTTTTAATTCTTTATATTTTTTTAAAAATAGTCCAACTAGTCTGATCGTCAATCAAATTGGGTTTTGTGGGTCCATAACATTGATAACTAAGGGTGTGGTTTGTATAGAGCCTAGGCTCTAAACAATCAAATTAGAACCTACCTTCAAATAGTGTCGAGAAATGTGGTTTCAATATTATAAATATTTGTGATAGCTTTAAAATATATTTTTATCTTTATTTATAAAGTTTAAAGCTTTAAAAATAATGTAGATTGACATATCTATGAAAACTTGAAAATTTTGAAAATTAACGGCCCAAAAATGTGTTACAAAATACATTATTCTAAAACTTGAAATCCATTTTTTTTTCATGTCTATGCATCTTGATGTTATGATGATCAATTTGAGGATATTTGGGTATCAAAACAACCTCTTCTAGTGAAATTTTTGAAGTAGGCTTTAATTTGATTGTTTAGAACCTCAGCTCTATATAAACTTTTTTCCAAAAAAAAGAATTCTAGGTAGTTTCCATAATTTCATAACTAAATATCTTTATTAAATATAGTATTTAAAAATATTTTATGACTTTTTCTCAAGGTTGGCTAGGTATATGGGCGGGGACAAAGTACCATGTTTCTGAATTTTCATATTTTCTCAAAAGATGGGAAAAGTTCACAATCCAATCAGCTAGTGCCAAGTAACTCATAGCACCATTGCAATTAGTTTCGGGTCTCTAGGATATCTGTTTAGATAAACTTACGTATAACCCCCAAGACCTTCTCTCACTTTTTTTTTTCCAAAATAATATTTTTTAGCAAATTTCCCCCAGTCAACCCAAAAATAAAAAAAAAGCAAAACTACCTTTATTTGAACCCTTTACCTCTCTTATCCCTTACTTTACCTTTTGCCTTTTACCCACGCCTGTCACTGTCTCCCCTTCTCAACGAGACCTAAAAAACATTATTCTGACAAGACCCATAGTCTACGTATGCACACATGGCATAGGGTCCCTCCCCTTTCTTTGCGCGCCGTCCCGGCCCGAGCTCTCTTCCTCTCTCTATTCGAAGAATTTTTTAGCTCGGTCCTACCGTTTCTCTCTTCTACTATTTTCTTGAATCCATAGCCTAATCTCTCTTTCTCTGAAACAACTATCAATTTTTTTGGCCCGGCCTGAGCTTAATTTCTCAGCCGTCAAATCCATCTGCCACTTAAAAACATTGTCACCACCACCTAAAAACAACACATAACTCCAATTCTCTTTATTATTAGCTAACGTGTAACACCACCCAAAAGCAAAAAAGAAAAAAACAAAAAGTTGAGGGACAGAGAGAGAGATATGGGTCCGGCAATCTATGAGAGCAGCCTAGACGAAGAGTTTCTGGAATCATAGTACTTTGGAATTGTGTAAGTACGGTCCGGCAATGGAACACTCTAGAGCAACAGGGCTCCGACACTATGTAAGTGCAGTCCGACAGTGGATCAAGCGCTCCGGCACTGTGTAAGTGTGGTTCGGCAGTGGAACACTCTGAAGTCATAGGGTTCCGGCAATGAAACACTCTGGAATACCTCGCTCTGGTGCTATATAAGTGCGGTTTGGCAATAAATGTTCTAGAGTCAAAGGGCTCCGACAGTTGCTAAAGGCAGGCATAAGAACTTCTGGAGTCACCGGGCTTCGGCAATTGCAAAGGGTAGTTTGACGGTACTAAGTTTCAATCCAATAGGTGTGTCAGGGCGGTCCGGCACTTAAGTTTCCGGAATATTGGGTCTGGCAATGTGATGGTACGCTCCGACAATGTGCTATTGAGGTTCGAAAGTCAACGTTAAATCTGGCCAAATTGATTTTTGTGTACAAGAAAAAAATTTTCGTCTAAAAAAAATAAACTTTTTCTCTTAGAGGGTATTTGCATATAAAGGTCCTTTTTTACGAAAAAAGTGAGAAAACAAGAGTTAGGTTGGAGTAAGTTTCATACAACGCGTGGCCTTTTTTTAAAAAAAAAAAAAAAAAATTTCCCATCTTTTTATTAGGGCCGTTTCTGAAAATTATTCTGTTCTAGGATGCATTTTGCTCCTACATCTCGAAAATAAACGAGAGGGAATTTAAAGTCGATTGGCACCCAAGTGAGAAACTTCTCCACGTGTCCACACAGGAAGCTTCCTCGAGATACAAAGGATCAAAATACGGGAAAGAGGGTGAACATGAATTAAAAAAAATTAAAAAAGACGCGAGTTACCCTGATTACAAACAGTTTATTTATATTTAATGTGTTTACAATGATTTAATTTCGAAGTTAAAAATGAATTAGAACCTTCCTCTCTTGTACATGCAATAATCATCTTCTGCCAATCCAAAACGATGTTTTCTTTATTCCTCTTGTGGGCAAGTGATGATTGAAACCTCGAAGGCTTTAAATTTTTTATTTTTTGGAACTCCAGAAGAATGAACGTAGATTTTCTCATGGCTTAGGTTCATTCCTATTTCTATGTTGTCAAAAGATACTATCGTTTTGTTCACTCCCTCAATTGCAATTCAATCTAGGAGTATTTTTAGGTTCTCAAATGTTTTGGAGATGTAATTCTTTCAACCTAGTGACCAACCTAGAAAGCAAAAATCCAATTAGTATGACCCTGCAAAATGTCCAAGTGCTTACGATCTCAAAATCTAATTTCCTTCTTACGCCTGATCGATGAGGACTTCATGTAACAAGTGCATCCCACAGCCACATCCCCCCATTTCTCAACAGGAATGAATACAAGCTGTTGGTGGGGCCAGGATTTTCGTCGCTCGGGGACCCAGATGGGACATGGCTCGAGAACACTATCTTAAACAACTGTGTGCCGACACGTGTGTGTGCGTGATGTGCGGATAGGAACCAATAGAAGAGAAAATTTTTATGGTGAGAAGGGGATCGAACACCCACCTTGCCTGTTGGGTTCAGGGACTCATTTGGGCTTTGTGCACTCGTAGATCACATGTGGAAAGCCCCTCCGCTTTACAACTCAGTTTGAATTTAGCTCCCTTGTGTCACAACACAGCCTTGCATCCACTTATCGATGGTGTTTGGGCTTTAACTCTTGGCTTAACTCCTAATGGAAATTTATGGGGTTTGAAAATTATAGCTAATGGTTGAGGGGGAGAATTATAGGTTGAAAGTGATAGAAAGAGGACATAAGAGATAGATTGTAAAAGAGAGGATGATTGACTAAAAAATTGGCAGTCTTCCGGTGATATCTTTCCTAAGAGGTATTACCAGATACATAAAAAATAATAGGCTTGAAGCCTAAGTATTCTCAAAGATTCAGGAGAGTGGAGTCTGTGGGTCTAGGCCATTGAGAACGCTTTCCGAAGAGCCTTCTAATAGGTAGCCAGAACATGGGTGAAGAATGGAGATGATGATATAGAAGCAAAGTGAGGGAAGAGAAGAGAAACAGAGAATATATATTAATACAAATATTTTAATAATTTTGTATTAAAATTATTAAAGTATTATATATAAGAGAGAAAATTATATAACTTTACAATATTATATATA